GCCGGCCCAGCACCCGCCGTCCTGCGGGCTGCCCCTGGCCTCCGCCGCCTCCACCTCCGCCTCGGCCTCGGCCTCCTCTCAGACGCCGCCCCCGCCGCCTCAGGACATGACTTTCAAGAAGGAGCCGGCTGGGGCTTTCCCCGCCTCCTCCCCTGCCTCCTCCTCTTCCTCCTCCCAGCGCAGCCCCTGGGGCTTCCTGCAGTCCCTGGTGAGCATCAAGCAGGAGAAGCCCAGCGAGCAGGAGGAGGAGGTGCCGCACCCCTACGGGACAGGTGTGGGTGTAGCGGCAGGGCTTTTTGGGCAGGACCGGCCCCCCGGGCTGCTGGGGGGCAGCAGCGGGGAGGCAGTGGGGTCCAGCGTGATCCAGGACCTCAGTCTGCTCCACCACCACCTGCACCAGCACCCGCACCGCGACGCGCTGCTGGGCGGCCGGGGCGAGGGCCCCCTGGGGGGCTGTGACGAGCCCAAGCACGAGGCTGCCCAGTCCCGGAAGGCAAAGAGGCCAAAGCCAGAAACTCAGGGAATCAAAGCCAAGCGGAAGCCAAGCGCTTCGTCCAAGCCGGCCCAGCTGGCGGGTGATGCCGAAGGGGCCCTGGCGTCCCCGAGTCAGAAGCCTCACGTCTGCGAACACTGCAGTGCAGCCTTCAGGAGCTCCTACCACTTGCGCAGGCATGTGCTCATTCACACGGGGGAGAGGCCTTTCCAGTGCAGCCAGTGCAGCATGGGTTTCATTCAAAAGTACTTGCTCCAGCGGCATGAGAAGATCCACAGCAGGGAGAAACCATTTGGATGTGACCAGTGCAGCATGAAGTTCATCCAGAAGTACCACATGGAAAGACACAAGAGGACACACAGCGGAGAAAAGCCATACAAATGTGACACTTGCCAGCAGTATTTTTCAAGGACTGATAGACTTCTGAAGCACAGACGAACATGCGGTGAAGCCATAGCTAAAGCAAATGCTGGAATGGAACCTGGGTCATCGAACCACAACATGGGTAGCCTGGCTGCGTTGTCTCAGGGAAATGCAAGTTCCTCAAGGAGAAAAAACAAAACAAAAAGTATATCCACTGAAAACAAAGGAAGTAAGTCAAGTAATAAAGTAACTGAATCACAAGTCCTGAATAATATGAACATGCCGAATTATGCAGTAGAGCTTCCTATCGTGTCTTCCAGTGGTGGCATAGTTGGCACTGGCATAGAAGAGTTGCAAAAAAAGGTGCCAAAGTTAGTTTTCAAAAAAGGAAACAGAAAAAATGCAGACAAGAATTACCTTAATTTTGTGTCGCCGTTGCCAGATATTATTGGGCAAAAACCGATGTCTGGAAAACAAAGTGGCTCTCTTGGAATAGTAACCAATACTGGTGTGGAAGCTCTTGGACTTCTCCAAAGTACAGGTGGTAAACCAGCTCAGTTAAGTAGCAACTATGATGATGCCATGCAGTTTTCAAAGAAGAGAAGATATTTACAAACTGCCAGCAGTAACAGTGCCTTTTCTATAAATGTTGGACACATGACTTCCCAACAGTCTGTCATCCAATCTGCAGGTGTCAGTGTTATGGATAACGAGACTCCATTATCTCTTATTGATTCAGCATCTCTAAATACTGAAATAAAGTCTTGCCATGATAAGTCTGGAATTCCTGATGAAGTGTTGCAGAGTCTCTTGGACCAGTATGCTCACAAGTCAGAAGGCCAGAAAGAAGATCCTTTCAATATAACTGAACAACGTGTGGACTTGCATGCTTCAGGAGAGCATCCAGAAATGGTCCAGGAGGAAAATTTGAGCCCAAGTTCTCAAACAGTTTCAAGTGATAAGGCAAACATGTTGCAAGAATACTCCAAATACCTCCAACAAGCTTTTGAAAGAACGACCAATAGCACTGGTTTTCCTTTTGGACCCAGTTTCCAGTTTGTTAGTCTGTCTTCAACTCTGCATAACCACACTCTGTTTCAAGACAAACAGATGTACACTACGTCTCCACTTGAGTGTGGTTTCAGCCAATCTGTTACCTCAGTGTTGCCAACTGCATTGCCAAAGCCTCCATTTGGGATGTTGCTTGGATCTCAGCCAGGTTTTTATTTATCAGCTTTGGAGGCTACGCATCAACAGCTGACTCCTTCTCAAGAGCTGGATGATCTGATAGATCCACAGAAACATTTAGAGACTTCATCAAACTACCAGTCTACATCTCAGAAATTGACTAGCCAGAAGGAACAGAAAAATTTAGAATCTTCAGCGAGCTTTCAAATTCCGTCTCAGGAGTTAGCGAGCCAGATAGATCCTCAGAAGGACCTAGAGCCTAGAGTGACCTACCAGATTGAGAACTTTGCACAAGCGTTTGGTTCTCAATTTAAGTCGGGCAGCAGGGTGCCAATGACTTTTATTACTAACTCTAATGGAGAAGTGGACCATAGAGTACGGACTTCAGTGTCAGATTTCTCAGGGTATTCAAATATGATGTCTGATGTAAGCGAGCCATGTAGTACACGAGTAAAAACCCCTACCAGCCAGAGTTACAGGTAAGGTCACAAGTGTGACCAGGCTGAGGGTCTTTTTTTAATGTAATTTTGTTTTATTTTGATAACACTGCCATTGGAATGTTTCTACACGGTCCTATTAAGAATAATGTAACATGCCCTTTCAATGCAACTTTTCATATTTAGTTAATTTTGTTAGTGTGATTTTTTTTTTTTTTTTTTTTTTTTAGGTCTGTTATTATGGTTTTTAATCAAAAAATCAAATAGAGTAAAATAGGTTTTTTTTGTTTTTTTTTATGTTCAAGTGACAATGTTTAGCAATCAGATTTACATAAATAGATTTGTCAGGGAATAGCTCAAAAGTTTAAAATGCAAAAAAAACAAAAAACAAAAAAAAAACCACAAAAAAATCTTTGTTCCTAGGATTAAGGTTTATTCTAATTGTTTTACTCTCAGGAAAGTGTAACGAAGCATGGGAATTCTGTGCACCACTTGTGTGTTGGAACTTCCAGTTAACAGATAGTGACAAATTTATTTCAATATTTTAAGGAAGGGATGTAAGACATTTCAAATTGCTGTTTTTAAAATCTGAGCTGATCCAAAACTTTGAGAATTTTGCTATCTACATCTTGTAGCTTTTTAACATCCTCCTGTTCTTCTAAGTGTTGCTCATTCCAGATGGGTGAGGCAAATATTCTTGGATTATTGGAAAAAGCCCAGAACAGTAGCTTTAATATAAACAATAATGTCCCTGGAACTCCTATGTAAGGCTGTAAATTCCATGAAGAAATTCTAATGACATAACCATGAGAACAAAACTTGTGTAGCTGGCTCATGTCATTAGAACCCCAACTTGAAACTACCGTTATAAATTATACACGCTTTTGGGATAGATTATTTATTATACATGGTTCAAAACAAATGGTCTTTTTAGTCTTCTCCCTTTCCCTCCCCTTTTTTAGTGTAAGTCCTTTTTCCTCCAACTTTTGTTGTCCTCCACAGTTTAACCTCTTGTGGTTTGTGGTCCTTCCTTGACTACTCCCTCCCTCACATCCCTAGTTTAACAGTTGGAATTAAAAAAATTCACATTCCGGAAAGTGCGTAACTTATTCTGCGTTTTTTCTGATGTCTTAGGGCATTAGTTCTAGAATAAAAATATAAACACCCAATGATTATATAATTCTGTTAAGGTTTCCATGTACAATAAGAAATAATATACTCCCAATTGTACATAGTAAGGCCCTGATTCTGCATCAGGATCAGTTCATGTAGATCCCTCTGCCTAACAGGGTGCCAGTGACATAACTGGGATTCCTTATGGGTATAGGGATCTACAACAGTATGTGATTGCAGTCTTGGGGCCTAAGGCTGCAATTCCATCCGAGGTTTCTGGTGATGACATAAACTGCAAGAGTAAGAACTCAAGTGGTTTGTTTATATTGACAGAACTCTTCATGGAATTATTGCCTTGTTTTATGTATATTTTGTGGTACATTATTTATTATATGTGAATCCTGATGAATGCCTGTGGAGCCACGGAAACCTGTTAGAAATACTGGTGGCTGTTCAAAGCTGCTGAAAGGCAGTAGCACTGCTCTAAACCACTTTTTTGCAAATGTATTTTTGATTAGTTTTTTTTTAATGTAATTTTGGTGATGTTTATGCTGATAGTTTTTACGTACTCTTGGTGATGTTTCAGTCTTACGTACTTTTCTGATGTCAGAAAAGTACCAGTGGTTGTTTGCAGTCTTATTGTGTAACCAGCCTATTACAGGCTTCCATGTATAATAAAGTAATTAACATTGTGCAAGTGTAAAACACTTCTGTTATGAAAGTGGTGTTTTGAAAACTATGGAATTATTAAACAAATTGTTACAAAAAACTGGGTAATTTATCTCCCACTATCCCTCACAGCTAAAAATCAAACCCAAACAAAACTTGTAGCTTGTTTCATCTTGTTACTAATATAAGTTTTGCTTTACAGTATTCATTTAATTCCATTAACTTTTTTTCTATACTTGATTATGTATTTCATTCTTATTTAATTCTAGTGCAGTATGCTGCTTCTGCTCTCTAAATACAGTGCCCAGGAGTGGATTGGACCATAACCACAATGGTGGTGTCATGCTTTTCATCATCCTTTTTTTTTTTTTTTTTTTTTTGGTTTTGTTTTTGCTGAGGTTATGATTTGCTTTCTTTACGTTTATAATGTGTGTAGTAGATATTGCATATGTATTGTTCTGGTTGTTTGCTTTACCTTAATACCAATAAAAACCCATTATTCACAAAAGTGTAAAGATATCACTGATATTATCCAGTCACACTCCTGAGATTTTTATTAAGAAGAAAATTCCATAACATGTTTTAAATTAGATTTGAAGAAGCAATAATATAACTTGTTGAATATTTTGAGGCATTTTTACTGTAAAGATTTGCTCAATAAAATGTTCTTTTGGTATCCTAAAAAATGCAGACAAATACTTTTATGACTTCAGATTACTTTGGGGGTCAGATTATACGAGTAAACTACTTAAAAATTGCTGGGCCCTATCATACCATTAGTATTTAACTTCTTACTGAGAATGGTTCAGTTTTGTTTCAGTTGATTATACAATCTGACCCTTCCAAGTCTGGTACTATGTGTGGTTCCATACAACCTTTTTTTTTTAACATACTGTTAACTCCACATATTTTTTGTAATTTACCTAGCTTTTGAGAATCAAGAACTAGAGTCTCTGTACACATACAAAGAACTTTTTTGAAAGCTAAGATCTTGAACAAAATGGCTTAATGCTGTTTGCTCTCAACTAATATTTTCACATTTTAAAGAAGGGCCTACCAAAGGTAATCTTAAATCAAAATCATTACTGAAAGAAGCAGAATAATTACATAATGTGTGCCTCCTTGATAAATTAATCTCCTGTTTTGTAAACTTTCTTATGAAAAATAAATCACTGAAGTAGTTAGTCCCTGCCAACTGCCTAAAATGAGCAACAGGGAAGCTGAAAGAATTAGGAAATACATAGTGCTTTAGTTTTTAGGTAGCTTAGTTTGGGCAAGTGGAAGAATCTATATTAAAATAAAAAAAAAAATCCCTGCCATGACTAATGTAGATAAAATCCCCCCTTAAATAAAGATGAAGTACTTAAATTCATTTCTCAGTACTGTATCTATAAACTTAACAGGAGCCTTTTGGAAAGTCTGTAGATGCAAATTATTACAATTTGTACATTGTGTTCTGGTAACTGGGCAATCACTTGAAAATATTTATGAATAGACTATAACCAGATTTTTTTTTCCAGATTCAAAAGCGAGCTCAGTTTCTTTTTCTCCAGGACACTGCTTCATGTGCTGGAATATTTGGATGCTCAGAGTTGAGCACTTGGTGCAAATGTAAGAAGCAGGTCATATTTTCATCTTCTAGATGCTGGAAAGAACTACAGACTGCATATACAGGTTTCTTTATGTCTATAGAGCAGTAATGCAGCTAAATCAAACTATAAGTGCTTTGGGTAATTTAGAGGTGTAATTGGGGGATTTAGGAAGGATGAGGGTTCCTGGGTTTCAATTAATTTATTTTGCTGTAATGACGTCTAGAGTCTGGAAGTAAATACAAAAAGGAGGCTGAAGATGAATGAAAATCTATTCCCAATGTCAGGGTGTAAAAAGGAAATTATTTACAAGGTATTAACAATTAAGAAAATTGAAATATTTATTTCAATAAATTTTGAAATTTATTTACTTTTCATTGTTGTAATTCATATCTTTGCTTTTCAGCCTCCTGTAAAATAAGATCAACTATTGAGATTGAGGAAGGTAACAAAAGCAGTGTCATACTCTAGGTAACGGGCAGGTGACCCTCAAAATAATTAAAAGCCAGTGTGTGCTCACAGACTGTTTGGAAACTGGAAATTAACACAGCTGAAACTGGTAATATAGGTTCAACTGGGAGAATGAAATGAGAGAGGCCCTTTCTGAGGAGGAAATGAAGAAAATGAAAATATAGGGGGGCAATCATGTTTCAGACTTACAGAATGCAAGTCTATTTTCTGAATTCTTATCTCTTTTTTTTTTTTTTTTAACTTCTAACAGCATTTGCATGAAAACAGGGTTGTTGTTTGTTTTCTCTTTGCTTTTTTATTTCCCAACTGCTAGCAACCAGTCTTTTTTTGTTGTAATGTGCAGTTGTTGATTGTTACAAGGCACACTTTAATTGCATGTAAATTGTTACAGTCTTTACTTTCCACATTATCTTCTTTCTTATAGTGGGAAGTGTTGGACTATTTAAACCACCTATAAGCGCTGGTTTTCATTCACTTAACATTCTCAAAATTTAACCAGTTGGGCTGAAGTTTTCAATACTGAATATGTATCTCAAGCTAATCCACAATTCACAATTCAAAAAGGATGTGGAGAAGCTTGAGAGAGTCCAGAGAAGAGCCATGCGCATGATCAGAGGTCAGGGAAACAGACCCTACGATGACAGGCTGAGAGCCCTGGGGCTCTTTAGCCTGAAAAAGCGTAGGCTCAGGGGTGATCTGATGGCCACCTACAAGTTTATCAGGGGTGACCACCAGCATCTGGGGGAACGTTTGTTCACCAGAGCGCCCCAAGTGATGACGAGGTTGAATGGTCACAAACTACTTCAAGATTTGTTTCAGGCTGGACATAAGGAAGAATTTCTTTACTGTCCGAGCCCCCAAGGTCTGGAACAGCCTGCCACCGGAGGTGGTTCAAGCGCCTTCATTGAACACCTTCAAGATGAAACTGGATGCTTATCTTGCTAGGATCCTATGACCCCAGCTGACTTCCTGCCCTTTGGGCGGGGGGCTGGACTCGATGATCTTCCGAGGTCCCTTCCAGCCCTGATGTCTATGAAATCTATAATTCCTGTTATTCCAAGAAAATGTTAGCAGAAACAGTTCTTCTGTTTTCTTGAACAAGAAAAATGGTTTATTTTAAAATGAAAGGACAAACCAGCACATACTTCCACAACTTTTACTGTCATTTTGTTGAGAAGTATCACCGGGCTTTGAAGCCAGGACTTTAGATTTGGGAGATGACTGGCTTCAGGAGATGTGCTTTGCTATTCTCATGAAATCCCCCCAAATTTGGCCAGATTATGAGTTTTGAAAATCTGTTTCCACATTTTCAGATTTAAGAGTTCAGCAGATAAGTTCTTTCACTATGATTAGGTCACAAGGGGTAACAACCAGCTATTGTTGTCAGTTCCTCCTTTAGTTTAAGTAGCAGAGATCGTTATTTTTATCTAAAGGTTCTAATCTTATTGATGACTTGTGGAAGTTAATACAATTTCTGCCATACGGAATTATATTTCACTTTGCGTTTATACAATTCCAGTGGACTGCAACTTCAGCATTTTAACTATAACAGTTCTGTGGAAAGTTAAGCTCTTCAAGAATTAATAAATTCCAGAATTATTGCATTTCTTGTGCAACTCTGTAATTTGGCTCACTTGTGTACATGCATTGAGATAGTATGCGATCACGTAATGGAAGACTCCATTCCACAAGACTCCTGCCTCATTCAGTGCATTAAAGGTTGGGACATAACCCAGTCACTCCAGTGTAATCTGCTCATACAGAGGTGTAAATGAGGACCATACACTTGATGTAAATTCTTACAGCAGTATAACTTATTTTAATTATTAGAATTATCTTGAGAAAAATCAGAGATAAGACTACACTGGCAGGAGAATGAGTACTTCCAGTGAGTAGCTGTTTGCTCAGGATGATTTGTCACCGCCTACTAGAAAGCAATGTAATACCATCTTTTCTAAGTCTGTACCCTGGAATAAATGTTAACATGTCTGCTTTGCTTTTGGTGTAATTAAATCAATGTCCTGTATAAATGTATGTTCAGGGCTGGAATGAAGTGTTTTAATATGTTCATTGCTCAATATGTGGCTCCGTGCGTTGTATATTGCCCATTGTTACACCATTGCTTTGATTTCGGATATATTAATATCCCAATGGGCAGTGGCATTGTAACTTTAAAATGAATTAATTAACATTTAATAATGGCTCTGGGAAGTGAGGCAGTATTGTTTAAATTTTGTAGATGGAGAACAGCACAGGGAAATTATCACGTGTACAGTAATGTTGGAAGCTCACTTTGATATCTCTAGCTTGATTGATTGATTGATTTTTTTTTTTTTTTTTTTTTTTCCCAGGGAGCTTGGCAATGCATAGCTGTTTTATTAGTTCAGAGCATAGCTCCCCTTGATTTCAGTTGCGTTTTTGTGCTCAGCATTTCTTTTTAATCAAGCCCCAGTGGTTTCAAATAATGCTTTAAAACAGAGGAGCTGGCCAGCTGAAAAATGGTGCATGTGTATTTCCAGAATCATATATAAAATATCTATTATCTAACCAAACAGGAAATAAGACGGAAATACAGAAATGGAACTCCTTTGTGTACTTCATGTACTGGCTATATTTAAAAATGTTTTATATGCTCTACTGGTAGCCTTACCCTTCCCTCTTGGTATCTCAGAACACTTTGTGAACAAATAATCATAGTTACTGTGCAGGTAAATGTATAAACTATTAGGTATTTGGTTGCTTACACCGTCTTTAACCCAAACACCTATTTTATTGGGAGTTGTGCTATTAGTGCTTGTTTCTGCTTGCCTCCCATCCGTCTTTTAGAATTTATAATTTCTGCTGTTGAAAAACAGGATATAGAATAGTCCCTTTCAGTTACCATTTTACTTGAATATAAGATGTTCCTGATTATAAGATAAGCCCATAATTAGATTCTATATATGGAAAACGTATAAATTAGTTATAATGTTTCAGGTGTAGAATCTAATTATTGGAGATTTGCCTTGTATTTATCCCCTTCCCATTTCTACAGTAATGAAAATAAATCTGGGGGGGGTCAGATGACCCCCCCCTTTCCTGACCCTCCTCTCCCTGAGCACATGGAAGTGAGGGGCAAATTTAAAAACAATTTTTGGAATAAACATACCTATAGTAATTTGAAAATAAGCAAACTACTGTGGATACCCATAGACTTAGTACATCTAGAATTGATGCATTTCACCGTTTTTGAAACTGCTGCAAGTTTTAGTACAGGTACTCCATAAACGCACTTTGAAGCAGCCCTTTTGTAATGGTTTATATAACTATGCGTGACATTAATCCAAAACTGAAAAGCTCATGATTTATTATGTAGTTAATTGGGCTGGGCCCCAACACAGTTAACAGGATTTCAAGTCATGGTGGCCCCATAACTCAGTACTGCTCAGTATGTGTGTACATTCCAGATACCCTCCACAAAGGATCCATGTGCTAATTGGCCCCCTTTGGATCCCACCAAGATTTATATGCAGATGAGGTTCAGGGCAACTTAGTCTGTCTCTACCTCATGGGGTTGGGGCCACACTAAACATATGAGACAGGCTGAGAGGAGGCAATTAGGGATTCTGGGTGA